GCGGGGCACTGCAGCCGGCCGCCGGGGGCGCTCACAGCCTCTGGCTACGCCTACCCCTCACCTCAGCGTTGGAGCTGACCCGGAAAAGGAGGATCCGGGTCGGCTGGGGGACGGCCCGTGTGGACCCTCTCGAGGCGCGCCCAATGCGGTGCCACAAGTGCCTCGAGAGGGGCCACACGAGGGTCACCTGTCCCGGCACAGTGGACAGGAGCGGGAGGTGTTATCGGTGCGGCGGCACCGGTCACACCTCCCGCGATTGCCGGTCTGCCCCCAAATGCCCGCTGTGTGCGGACAAGGGCAGGCCGGCAAAGCACGTCCTGGGCGCACCGTCGTGCGCCCAGAAAAACGTGCGCGGGATGCCGCCGGGGCAGGGAGCCAAGGAGCAGGCCCCTACCACCGGTGCTCCCCCCCGGCCGAAGTGCGGCCGGTGGCGGAGAGTAGAGAGGAGACGGGTGGCTCGGCGGAGGAGCCACGACCGCAGCGCCAACACAAAGCGCCGGAGGAGAGGGCCTCGCCTCCATTGGAGGCCATGGAGGTGGAGGCCCCATCGGACGGGGGGAACAATCAGGCCGAGTAATGCCTCGCTCTCCCCCCCGTCCGAACTTGAACGGGTTTGGCCTTCTTCAGGCCAATGTAAACCACTCTCCACATGCTCAAGACTTGCTCCATCAGAGCATGGTGGAGAGTGGTTTTACGCTGGCGATCGTGACCGAGCCCCACCGCCCCCCGAGGCGCAGCCCATACTGGGCTGTCGATAACGGGCGGGCGGGGGACTCGGTCGCGATACGATGGCGGTCCGTGCCGGGTGGTCCCGACACGGCCGCCATTGAACGAGGTGAGCGGCATGTGGTCGTTCAATGGGGGCCCATCGCGGTCGTGGGGGTCTATCTAAGGCCCACCAGGAGCCTTGCCCCGTTCAAGGACTGGCTATTGGACATAGGGCAGACGGTCCTACGTCTGAGTCCAAGGCCGGTCCTCGATGCCGGGGACTTCAACGCGTAGCACACGAGTTGGGGTTCCCGGCACGACAACGGGAAGGGCAGGGCCCTGGACGAGTGGGCGGCGACGCACGGTCTGGTCCTAGTCAACGAGGGCCGGACCTCCACCTGCGTGCGGACGCAGGGAGAGTCCATCGTGGATCTCACGTGGGCTACCCCCTCGGCCACGCGCCTTATTACAGGGTGGAGGGTGGAGGAGGGCACCGAGACTCTGTCTGACCACCGTTATATAATATAACGGTGGAGCTCGGTGCCCTCTCCTCCGTGCGCCGCCAGGAGACGCGACCGCGATGGGCCCTCAAGAAACTCTGCGAGGACGCCCTGATGGCCTCGTTAGAGGCCGCCTGTTGGGTCCGGGGAGGTTTCCCCGAGACCCGGGAGACGGACCCCTTGCAAGAGGCCGAGTGGATCGGGGCAGCGTTAACAGCGGCTTGTAACGCTGCGATGCCCCGATCCAAAACTCGGCGTCAGCGGGCCGTCTACTGGTGGACGGCAGGGATCGCCGACTGCGTCGACGAACCGTCCACCAGCAGAGGAGTTTCGCCCGCTGCAGGCGCAGAGGCGGACAGGCGGCTGAACGAGCAAGAGAGGGC